TGGGTTATAATTGTTCGCAGCCCAGCCTTCAGTCTGCTGTATCTTCAGCATGCCTCAAGTGCTCATATACATAGGCAAGCACAACGGGGCCCAGTTAGGGAGATTTTTCAGACATAGCCAAGCATGTCTTTGGATAGTTTACTGAGCTAAAAGGCTTTGGACCATTTCTACAGGATAACTCAGTCAACTGGCATGACATAGTTCATAAAGATACTATCGTACAACTTAATTTTTAAGTAGCATCTGGGTACTGAAACACTTGTGAGTGGCATACTAAGAAACCTTTATTGATCTCTAGTCATTGGAGTAAGAGAAAACGAAGGAAGTAGAAGACTCAACGAAGAAACTATTATAAGCCTCTGCAAGTCTGCCACTGTAAGAACTATATGCTCTCCGGTTACCACTACCAACCCTTTCTTTGCTGGTCCCTAGAATAGAAAATAAGTATGGAACAAAATTCAGGCTAGACTTACTGTCTCAATAAACCCAGAGGAACCTCTGTGACTATTGCCCGAAGACACCCTTTTACCTTGGAACTGAAGCTGCTCCTAGAGGTCATCTTTCAGCCAATTGATAGATTGGCTTACAAAAGAAACAATATGACCTGTGAATTGGAAACGCCCTTCAACCATCAGTTGTAGGAGACCAACATTTACCCAAAAGCAAAGATGAGAAGGCCAGGAGGGGAAGGGAAGTTCGACTGATGGAAATAGAATAAGCAGAATCAAAAGGATGAGGATGCAGACACATTGTGAACATTGTAACCAATGCCATCCAACAAATTGTATATAAAGTCTGGTTTTCACTAGGTTCTCATGGTCTGCGAACCTAATCTACTGGGTAAACTTTCACACACACACACACACACACACACACACACACACACGACAGAAATGTAACTGTTAGACTTAAAAGCAGGACTTAACGAGTACATTTGAAAATAAACATATCCATTTTAAACATTGTTTTATTGTATAGTAAGTGGGTGTTAACATTTCAGATCGTCAGATTAGTTTGCAACACTTAATTACTAATCAAGCCTGCCGGTAGTTTACCCCTCCTCCTTTCTTTACTTTCTCTTCTTGTAGATTACTATCTTCCTCACCCCAGTTAGGTTGTTTCCATCTTCTTGCTATTGTGGCCAATGCTTCAATGAACAACGGAGTGCGTGTGTCTGTTCCTGTTACCGCTCTTACTTCTTTAGGCTATATACCCAGGAGAGGGATTCCAGGATCGTATGGAATTTCTATTCCCAGTCGTTTGAGGTACTGCCATATCACTTTCCACAGGGCTTGTGCATCTTTACATTCTCACCAGCAGTGTATGAGGATTCCAATCTCTCCACAGCCTCTCCAGTATTTTTTTTAAGCTTGGCTGTCATTGTTGGCGTCAGGGGGCATCTCAGTGTTGCTGTGATTTGCATCTCCCAGATGGTTAGTGATCAGGAGTATTTCTCCATATGGTTTTTGGCTATTTGGTTGTCATCTTTGGTGAACTATCTGCGCGTGTCCTTTGCCAGCTTTTTCATTGGATTATTTGTCTTTTTCTTCTTGAACTATTGCCATTTTCTGTAGATTTTAGAGATCAGGTCCATGTCCAATGTGTTATTTTCAAATTTCCCCTATTCTGTGGGTTCTCTTTTTACCCTTTCCATGACGTCTGTTTATGCACATCAGTGTGTTATTTTTAGTAGATCCCAGTCATTTATTTTGTGATCTCCTTTGTGTGTTTCCTTAATTATATTTGACAGTGTGTCTATGCCTAGAAATAGGGTCCTTAAATTAATCTTTATTTTCTCATTGATGGTCTATATGGCTCTAGGATTTCATTTAGGTCTTTGAGCCATCTTGAATTTGTTTTTGAGCATGGGGTGAGGTGTGGGTCTGGTTTTATTCTTCAACAGATGGAAATCCAATTCTGCCAGCATCCTCGGTTTAAGAGACCATGTCTAGCCCATTTCATGTTTCTGGTACTTCGTTGACAATCAGTTGACTATAGGTGGATACATTTATTTCTAGGTTGTCTCTTTTGTTCCACTGGTCTTTGCATCTCCCATTGTACCAATACCAAATTATTTTAACCACTGTAGCTCTATATTCATCATTCTTCTTATACCTTCAGACCTAATCTGAAGGTCTTATATTCCTACTGCCCCTGCATGAAGGTACAAAAATTTTGGTCAAGGTAATGAACAAAGGAATCACCCATTCATTTCAGGCAGTACAACAGCCACAGTTATATGATAGGCCTGATTCAATAAACAAAGAAAGCTTTTAGTTTTCCCCTGCTCCCAACGTAGACCAGTTTAAGGCTGGCCACCTCCTTGAGGAATGGGATCCTGCCTGTTCTTTCCATGTCCCTGCTTGAAATGCCTGCTTCTCTCCTCTTCCCACACTGCCAGCGTTCCTTCCAGAGTTAAGGCAAGGAGTTTTCAGAGGGTGAGTTAGTCCAGGTAGACTAGAGAAACAAATCCATGGAAACTCATGTGTATAAGAGAGAGGTTTATATAAAGGGTAATTGTACATCAAGAAAACATCCAAACCCAGTCCAGTTCAAGCCGATAAGTCCGATATTAGCCCAAATGTCCGATACCAATCTATAAAGTCCTCTTCAGACTCACAAAACGTATGCAGGATGATCACAGGTCAGTGGGTAGAAAGTCTTTGGATCCAGTGATGTTATAAGCACCTCAGCGCTGGCAGGGGTCTCCACATGGCTTCTCCAGTTCCCAGGGCAGCATCAGGGTAGGTCCATGTGGCTTCTCCTCAGGGATGTCTCCAGGGAGTCAGCCTTGTCAGTAGAGAGTCTTCAAGGGAGTGAGTAGAGTGAGAAAATGTCTCCCGCCTCCAAGGAGGAACAATAGGAGTTCTCAGAATTCTCAGGAGAAGGCCATGCCCACACAGAGGCCTCATTGGTTATAGCTTGATTGACAAGCCAGATTCCACCCCTTCACTCGTAATCCTCTCAAATTGACAGCAGATTATGTAGCTACCACTGAGGGAGAATAATGAGATGAAGTAAGCACCTGATATATGTGCTATCTCCTTTTGGTCCTCACCTTCATAAGTGTTTAAAACTGACTTTCTCTTGAAGTGTGTTTTTTATGGTATTTTTGCCACTCATTCCCATTGGGCGATCCGCAAGGTCTGCAGTTTGAAACCACCAGCTGCCCGACGGAGGAAGACAGGCCTTTTACTGCTATAAACAGTTAAAGTCTTCAAAACTCACAATTCCAGTCCTACCCTGTCCTATAGGGTCCCTATGAGTCAGCATCAACTCGATGGCAGTGAGAGTGAGATTGTTTTTGCATTCTGCCTTTGAGATGAACAACCTGTCCATCTGGTTGCCTCTCATGATTCATCTTATCTTTTGGGCATCCTTTTCCAGCTGAGGCTTCTACCTTTTAGTGACCTTCTCTGAGGGGCAGGCCACCCCCAGAGAGTCTCATCTCATCACTCTGAGGTCAGAGTGCTAGCCAACAACTATCTCCGGTTCTTTATCTATCTGGGGGTTTAAGAAAAATGGGTAGAAGTCTCCTCGTGCTCCCCTGAAAGCTCTTTTCCCTGGCCACTTTTCCTAAACATTCCTATATTCGCCTCTTTGTTATTTGATCCTCAGAGCAACAACTATTCTTCATAATCCACTGTCACTGAGATAGCTCTGATTCATAGCAGCCCTGCATAGGTTTCTGAGACTGTCAGTCCTTATGGGAGTAGACAGTCTCTTCTTTCTCCCACAGAGCGATTAATGGGTTTAAATTGCCAAGTGTGAATTAGCAATCCAATGCTTATACCACAGGGCCACCAAAGCTAGTTTCCTGAAAGAAATGCATTGAGCGAACATGGTTGTAGCTTGGTTAGCCTGCTGATACAGATCATCATTGAAGTCAGAATTCTCAATTAAGTTTCAAATGTCAACACAATTTCCTGCCATTTTCACTCATACATTCTCCCCTAAAAAGCACCATTTCTTGATCTTATTCATACTTCTTGAAGGGACCCTAAACTCCCCAAAATGCAAATCCTTCTAAATAAGATTAAGAGTTGAATAAAATGGAAAGAAATCAGCTCTCTGAACTGGAAACAAACTCTGACTTACACCTATTAGGACAAATTCTATGTCAAAATTTTTTATTTTTGTCTAACTTTCCAATAATACTTTTTCTTCTAATCAAAGTCTTCACCTCTAACTATAATGGAGAAATCAAGATATAATAGTATGTTCTTAGTCTCAAAATTAATTCAAACCTTATAATAGAACACAAGGCAACTATTACTTAGGTTGATGATTTTAAAATGTTCATTAATTTAAACTTTCAAAATATAATTGGAAAAGAGAATTTTGGTCAAAGATTCTTTCTAAAAGTTAGGTTAAAATTTGAAGGAAGCACAGCAGATTCCTGAGAACATGATTTCGAAAGGTTCTAGAATCATTCTTAAGTTTAATGTTCCTTTAAACTTATAAATGACTATAGTATTTTAGAATTTCTGTATTTATGAAGACTTGTAAAGTATATGAAAGAGGTAATGTTTTGTGAAAAAAATAATATCTCACCTTTAATGTTTTAAGTATTTGTTCATTGAGCTTTATTATCCATGTTTCCTCTTACTCTACAAATGTAATTAATATTAATAAGGTACATTTATAGCAAAGCATTTCTATATTTTACCCAGTTTCTGAACTGGAAATTTAGAGGCTTCTATTAATTAACATGAACTGCATAGCTAAGTGGCTTTTGTTTTATTTGAAATATTATATATCTTAATGTTCTGTCCCCATTTTACTATTAACAATAGGAAAGCATTAACATAGCATGTGTGTGTATAAATATTTTGATTTGGCCTTAGCAGTAAGGATATTTTATTAGGTATTTAACAGGAGGATTCTCATTAACATTCAATGCTATGATTCCCATATTAGTGCTTTTAGTTCAATGGAAGCGAAAGTTGAGGATTTTTTTCTTTTTAATTAACTGGTTTTTATTGCTGTTCCCTTCACAGAGCTCAAGTGTTTGATTATACAGTGGCTCTGAACTTGACCAGGTATCTCTCAGAGGAACTGGATTTTTTACCATGGCAGAGAGTCATTTCGGCTATAAGCTACATCATTAGCATGCTTGAAGATGATAAAGAACTATACCCTATAATTGAGGTGATGTGAATGATATAATCTTATTAAAGCACAAGTTCATCCATTAGCAGAATAGGAAGATTTCTGGGAGAGGGGGCCTGTAGGGGAACACAAAACACAAACACGCATCTGCCAGACAAAGGAGAGAAAAGGGAAAAGGCAATGACCCAGCGAACCCAATCAGGAACTGTTGTTACCTGGTCTTTCCCCTCGTCATTGGTGTGTCCACTCACTTCTCACTTGCTGACATGTGCGATTCCGAAGACCTAGTTCTGAGGCAAAATTGACTTTATTGAAAGTAGAGGATGTCCACACCATTACATAACTACCCAGTTGACACATCATCTTACCATCACAGCTGTTATTACTTTCCTCTCCAACATCAGTGCTTAATCCATCATTACAGCACAACATTTTAAGATAATGTATTTTTTGCTGTTCTTATTCATTCAAAATGTGAGATAACCAGGGAGATGGTAAGGGAGGAATAGGTTTACTTGTAATCCAGTGTAACACTTCAAGATAGATTAGTGCCAGAAGAAATCAAATAATTAATTTTTAAATAGGCATTTGAGTCCAGAGATATCAAATTGATCCTATTTTTAAATTAATGTATCTCATTTAAAGTGAATTTATTCTTATCAAAATGTCACACCATATTTCCTTGTTCTTACTGCTCTTATTTTAATGGTATTGTAGGATGGTCCTGATAAGTATTTTGTGGCTTCTGTAGCACTTTGGCCAGATACTTGTAATCTGAGGCAAATTCTAGATTCAAATTCAAACCGATAGGTCTTCCATTGAGTAAATGAAAGACCTTGGAGAGATGGCTTCATATCTGTGAGCCTTAATTTCCTTTGTAAAAATAGATGCCAGCACTTGACTACTTCTTGGTAATGGGATAGTGAGGAGCAAATAATATAAAAGTCCTTTTGTAAGTCTTACAGCCTAGTTTTTGTTATTATTTTAACAGTACTTGAATCTTCTTCTTAGTTCAAGGGATATACCATGTATTACTCTACTACATATACTAACTTAAATTTGAATTTTAAAAGGAACTAAACAATGTTAGTCCCTTTGAAGGAGCGCTGGTGGTGTAGAGATTGCGGTTGGACTTCTAATCAAGGTCAGCAGTTCAAAGCCACCAGCCCGTCCAAGGGAGAAAGATGAGCCTTTCTACTCCCATAAAGAATAGAAATTCATGGAGCAGTTAGATGCGGTCCTATAGGGTCACTGTGAGTCAGAATCGATTCAATGGCAGTGAGAACCCAATGTTTGCTAAAACATTAGAGATAGGCATTGTATGGTTCATAACTTCAGAATTGTAGCAAAAGATCAACATGATGAAACTGAGTACTTCTCTTTCCTAAAGATAAGCCCAAAGTTCTATGAACTACTAAAACAATTTTTAAGATTTTAATGGGATGCCATAGATGATCATAAATGGAAGACTGTTGATAAAGCGTAAATTATTACTCCTTTTACATGGTGCCTTTTTCCCCCCACAGGAATACTTCCAAGGTCAAGTGAAGCCCATCGCAACTTCTCTGGGATGGGAGGACACTGGAGACCATATAAAAAAGTTATTTCCTATCTTTTTAACATTAATCAACATTTAACATTGGTTTGTGTGTAGGATGTTTGAAAAAACGGTCAAGGCTCAAGCTTTGTGTTTCTCTGTTTTCTCAGATTACTCCGTGCCGCTGTGTTAGGGCTTGCATGCAAGATGGGAGATCAGGACGCGTTGAACAATGCTTCCCAGTTGTTTGAGCAGTGGCTACGTGGAAGTGGAAGGTGAGAATGCACCACGTTTCCATTCATATCAGACCTTGAGCTGGAGCAGCGCGTAACGGGCATCTCTAAACCCTGTTTTTCCTTGTAGTCTTCCAGTAAATCTTAGGCTCCTGGTATATCGGTATGGCATGCAGAACTCTGGCAATGAGACTTCCTGGAACTATACTCTTGAGCAATACCAGAAGACCTCACTCGCTCAAGAAAAAGAAAAACTGCTCTATGGGTTAGCATCCGTGAGGAATATCACTCTGCTGTCCAGGTAAGCTGGGCTCCTGTTTGACTTTGCTCTTGTGTTCCTTCGCATCCATCCTGACTCACTGCAACTCTACCTGACAGAGAAGACCTGCCTCAGAGGATTTCCTAGGCTATAATCTTTATGGGAAGAGATCATCTGGTCTTTTCTCCCACAGAGTGGCTGGTGAGTTTGAACTGCCAACCTTTCGGTGAAAAGCCAAGCTTTTCACCATTATGCTACCAGGATTGCTTTTAATTTGCTTAGAAGAAAGGTGTATAATGGTTTATGTGCCACGGTGTCTTTAAAGCGAATTGCTGTCAAGTCAGTTTCCAACTTCAGACATGTGCTCCATGGGGTTTTCAGTGATGTTTTCATTAAACAATGAAGAAATTTGATCTCTTACCCAAAAAATGTCTGGTGGGACTCAGTTTTCAATTTTGGGTGACAACTCATATTTTCATCCAAGACCCAGGTTTTCCCTTTGGGTTCTGCCATCCTAAGCATGCGGGATGTCTCGTGACTTCCAGAACCCCACACAGCATATCTGCACACAAACATCTTCAACAAGGGCAAGTGAGGAGCCAATGGGTTTCTCCTCACATGCCAAGTCTTTTCTCTCTTCCGTGCCATGAGAACAAGTCTTTCCACTTCTTTTTATAATCCCAAAGTGGAATTATAAATAAATTCTCTAAATACAATGAGTTTTCTTTCCTTTGGCTCATTGGACCAATCATGGTGCTCTGGGTAAGGAGTTGGCCTTATACTATATTCTAGGACCAAGAATAACTAATGATGCTGAGCAGAACTGAGCTCCATGGACCAGTTGCATACTCACAAATTATGAACTTAAAGTCCACTCAGAAGATACATAGATCCCTCGCAACCCACCTGTGCATCTTCCATTCCATATACCCACAGTCCATTTTCTTCTGCCTTATTTAATTTTTTCACTTAGTTATGGCTTTTGTATTATTTACTTCATTTACTTAACCGACATATATGAAGTTTTTTCTTTGTGTAGGCATATAGATTATGGCAATAAAATCAAATACTTATGGACCCCAAAGAATTTAAAGCAGGACTCAAACAGACTCAAATACCTCCAAACAGATTAATTATGAAACAAAGTGTGTTATATGCACACAATGGAATATTACTCAACCATAAAGTGAAATGAAGTTCTGATGCATGCTATGATATGAACAAGCCCTGAGAACATTATTCTTAATAAATAAGTCAGTCATTTGAAGGTAAACAAGCGGCCATCTAGCTCAGAAGCAACAAAGCCCACATGGAACAACATATCAACCTGTGTGATCACGGGGTGTCGAA